AAGAACAGCACATAAAACGTAACGCATGGCGTTTCTCGCTGATTATGACGCTCCTTGAGTGAGAATAGTTGCAGGCTGCTGTAGGGCAAGGGACGATGGCTGAGGTGGACTGAGAAGATTATCGAAGTAGGCCAATGTTTCTACTATGTATTTTCGTACTGAAGAGCATTTTGCCTTCCCTGCGGTGTTGTGAATCACTTTCGTCGTATGTTTATCAGCCGTCTGATTCGCCCTGATGATGGTCAGAATGGTCATATGGCAGCTGCCAAGCCTCTCTATCTCTTGATAACATGCGCTCCCATCCGTGAATTTCAGTAGCTACAGCCAAAGAAGAGTCATACAAGCAGCTGTCTTTCTTCTTTCGGCCCAACAATACTGTCATATGCCCCGCTTTGTTTGTCAACGGCCCGGGGCGCTGTGAGCTACTTTGTGACACGACAAGCACCCCAGGCAAAGTCCGCCATCCAGAAGCAGCGAATCACCACGCCTCACGTTACACATTGTTCGAATGCCATAATTCACTTAATAGGGCACGATTATGGCGAATCGAGGCTCGATAGGGACGATTCAGAGCACATTGACGATGGTTTTGCCTATATATGCCCTCATGGTCTGCAGGAATTGCTGCTCTCTTGCTCTGAACCATAATCAAACACTCCCAGTAGTCAATAGATACAGCTAAGACAGGCTAAATCAAACACTACAAACCATATTGAACTATCAAAAGATTTCAAATTTTACCTACCTTCATACACCTCAACAACATGAACAGAAACACGAGCGACGGTGTGGAAATGTCCCTGGGCGACCTCAGAGACATGGGACAGCTTCGCAGCAGCCAGAGACGTCATTGTCGTTGGATCTGTTGTCACTGCAGACACTTCAACAGATACGACGAGTCGCTCTGTCGAGGTTCCAACTGCGCGGGAAGAACACGGAAAGGCGTGGTGCATGAGATTTGCAAGGACTGCCGCATTACAATGCCCTGGCATGTTTGGAGAGAGGTGGATGGCTACAGCCAGTAGTCTCGGTCTGCTCGCCTTATCATCGGAGAGGTTTAGGTCTTAAGTTCAATAGTAGTCTAGTTCGGGTAGTCAAATCAAGATTATCCTCATACCAAGTTGTGCGTATTCAGTTTTGATCTCAGTGTAAGTCTAAATGTTATTGAAGCCACGTAGCTCACCTCGCGAACAGCGGTCGTGGGGCAGACATCAAGGGTCTAAACAGAACACATTTGTGAATATGAAGGCTATTACCACCCTCATACACGAAGGCTGCAGGGGGATAAAGCCTAGAACCGCTGTGCCGGGCCTTTAGAGCTCAGACCGGGTCAACTGGTAACGGTGGTTTCAATTGCCACTACTTGCGCGAAGTATATCAATCCATCTAAGCAGAATCGCCAAGTTGAGAATCTTGACATTTTACTACGTTATATGATGGTGCATTGCAGTGCCAACCTCATCTCCGCTTGAAGTCTCACAAACTGGAATAACAGAGGCAAAGCCGGCCGATCAAGCCCTCTTCTTGGCGGCAGCAAGCACTTCCGGATCGTTCGTTTCCTGTCCCATGTAAAGATTCGTCTGACCGACCTTCGTCCATGGTGCGAACGCCTGCCATATTGGTTAGCTAATCTTTTCCAAAACATCAAGCAAACCGATGGGATACTCACATTCTTGACATCATGCAAAGGTGCAGCAAGTTCCGGGAAATGCCTGCACAGCACGTCCTTCATCGTGTTGTTCTGAACCCAGTCCATACCCTCTCGGGTGTACACCTCGGGACACCAAGCATCGCCAGCGAGGAATCGATCAGACTTGATGCGACGGCTAGCCATAAGGATGAAGACACGGAACGCAGTGTCGCTGAAGCCGAAGCCCTTGGGAAGCGGCTCGCTCAGCGTTCCGACGAGCAGATCCACGGCCTCGATGTCGCCGTTGTAAACCCCCTCAAGCTCGGAAGCCAGCTTGCGGTCACCGCCAGTCAGCTCAATGAAGCTCCGTGCCGCTGGCATGTGGAAGAGGCGGCGGAAGGCGTTGTAGCGAGGCACGCCGCGCTCACGGTCGCGCAGGATGTCGACGGTGCCCATGTCCAGGTGTCTGCCTTCGGGGAACTCCTCGTCAGCCGGGATGTGCAGGTCTCTCAGGAAGTTCGGCATGTTGTGGGCGCGGATGGCTCCCGGGTAGTTGACTCCGAACGAGTAGAAGACGTCTGCGAAGTTGAGCCCCAGCCCTGATGCGAAGCCCTTCTCATTGAGGGGCTTGCGGGCCGATTCGAAGGCGACCTCTTTCATCGGAAGTGTCCCTTCATGCTGACCGTTCTTCACATTGAAGAACGCGATGTTGTCAGGGATCAGCGGGTGGAGGCGGTAGACGGACACGAACTCCTCTGTGAGGGAGTAGGGCACGTTATCGTGGTTTACGTCTGAGCCTGGTATGCCAGAGATCGTCTCAAGCTTGTTGTCGAAGATTCGCCCGAACACCTTCCACAGCTGGAAATCTTGTTAGCACTTTGTATGGAATCGAGAATTCCTCCATCTGAATACATACCTTCTCCCCAGCAAGTCCCCACCAGTTAGCACTCATACCGACCTGCAGCGCCGGGTGCTGCAGGATGCCAGGAGTCCATTCAACTGTGTGAATCTTGGCCATGAGAGCGCAGTTGACCAGTCTAGCAGTGTCGAAAATCTGATCACTGGTCCAGGTAGGATTCGAGAGCTCAAGCTGCTTGGCAATGGCATTGTGCTCCAGAGCGAACAGTGTGTGCAGGAGCTCGAGGCCGATCCACCAGTTCTGATGGAACCCCGTCTTGGGAATGCCGTCTTCGCCACGAGGCAAGAACTGCGCGCCCTGCACACCGTCGACGGCGAGCTGACCTCGCGAGCCCTCCCTCTCGCACTGCGCTCTGAGCTCCTGAGTTTCTTTCTCAGTAGATCCGTAGATCTGAGAGCCATCCCACCAGTGCGTGCACTCGTTCTCGTACGCAGGTGGCGCCTCGTCATCTCCCCGAAGGTGTTCGGCTTTCTTCGTGCGGTATATCCGCATCTTTCTTTCGGGCCACGTATCACCCTTAGCAAGAGGGACGTCCCACGAGTTGGCGGTATCGTTAAAGTGCTGTGCCCAGTCATGCACCTGGAATTGAATCCATGCAGCGGCGAGCAAGTTGACGATGGTAGCCGGCTTGAAGCCGTTGTCGGGTCTCGCAAGGATCTTCTCAGAGATCAATCTCGGGTTGGGTGTAAGCAGCTCCTTGTGAGAAGGGGCCGTCGTGTGCTTCCTTGGCACGTTGCGCCCGAATCTCATGCCTCTGCAGCCCATTTTGGGCCCACTGAGATCATTGAACTTGCCATCTGAGTGTCTTGAGCTGATGTATTTGGTATCCTCGAGAGGGCAGGTTTTCTGGTTTCCTTGGTGATCGCGGCCGTCGGATGGATAAGTGTCGTACAGATTCTGGTCCCTCAGCTCAAAGCGCAGGGCGAGCAGGTTGAAGACACTGAGCCACTTTGGGAGCTTATGCCAATGCACAAAGAAGTTGACGATTTTCCAGAAGGCAATGTAAAGACGTTTGAAAAGGGGAACGAGAACATAATCGAATAGGGCCTTGAACCACATGCCCAAAACTTGCATGGTTGTGCTGGAGGCCTCGAGGGTCCCCTCAATGATTGCGGACGTCATCTTACTCGACAAGTGAAGAAATGACTTGATTTGGGGACAGGACGCTGTCAATCAAGGGGAAGCGTGTGCGTTTTATCTGCCATCCGTATGTGCTGACATGCAGATGGTAAGATGGTGTCACTAGAACGGCTGTGCTTTCCCTTCAGGCACGTAGGCATCCCTCACATATCTTCATCGACTGACGTCTCCCAAAATACGTATGCCACTGCATCTTTTAAGCGCCACAATTTCAGGTGATGCAGTCGCAAGAATTTGCAAGCCGCAAGTCTGACACGATAGGGGGGGCTGCACAACCAAGGCAGCCTGGATGACGGGCTGAAAAGAAGAAAAGCTCACGGTAGCATGCATCGGGCTTACAGTCATCAACGGGTGTGAAACTTCCCAGAATTTCTCATCGGAAATTCCGCGTTGATTGGTCCGTTTGAGTGTTCCTTGCTTCAATCTCACCGAGAATTTACGACGTGCGAGCTTGGTCTGGGACATGTCAGCCCTGAAGCGGGGAACCTTTGGGGTCCCCGTCCGAAACATACCCAATCCTCATAGATTGAAGCCTGCTTACCTCGCCTCTGCCCCTGTGTGTGGCTAGCTGAGTGTGCAGGGCTGGCCGCAAGACGGAGCTCGAGGTTCTAGCTTGGCCCTCAGCCTCAAAACACATTCCAATGGCCCCGGATTTCCAGGACAAACTACGCGTGAGGCTGAGAGCTGACATCACACTTCCACTTCAGTCTCTTGTTGATGACAGAGACGGAATGAACGGCACGTAAAAAGGGCACGTGAGTCTGGGAAGACTGATGCACACATCTGTCATGTTCTGTCTACGAGCATGCACACAAGCACGGCCCTGCTGGTCTCTTATCCATCAGGGATTGTGTATGTGAATTAAACTTGGGTAAAATTTGGGATGTGATTGTCACATTTGCTACGGATGTGACCGGTGTTATGTTCAAAATTTCTTCATTGCAAGACCTCGGAGTGTGACCTCGCTGCAAATTACAAAGCATTCTTTCAAATTCACAGGAACGTCCTATCTAGTCACACTTTAAGATCGAGCATGAGCAAAGGATAGATCCGATGGAGGTTCGGGCACGTGAGGGATATGATGAATTATCATTAGACAGTTAGACTGGAACATATCCGTAAGTCATAAGCTATTTAACCATCCTCTTGCCCGCGTCGGAAGGGTTTTCCAAAGATCCGAGCCGTGGAATCTCTTTTTTCTCATGCACAGCCTTTGCAAGCTGGAAATTCCAGTAGAATAAACCCCATTCAACCCGGTTCCTGCTCCCGAGAGCTCAAGAGCAGCATTACCCGGCCATGGTAAGTTTTCGCTTAAACGAAGTTGCCGCCGCCCTGGCAGCGAGAAAGCGGACGGTGGACACCGGGCTTCTCACAAGGGGTGATTGCTCCTCTGATCCACTTGACTCCGCAGTAGCTTCCCTCCTCCTAGTTCTCAAGTCAGTTTCTATGCGCAAAAATTGAGAAAACGTGGGTCATACGTAAGCATCGGACATAAACGTTCCGATCTGTGTTTGCTTTCCGAGGCAGCCTCTCATGACACGGCCGTATCTTCTGGTCTTGAAAGGGTTGTTGACCATGACACCGGTGTGGTGAGCGGATACGGTTCCCCTGACCATGATGGCCTGAGCAGTGGCCCAGGATCGGGAGCCAGAAACGCCAAAGTTGGATGTCAAGTATCCGGTGACAATGGTCGGGCTGAAACCGCCGGTGATGGTGAGAGTATCAGTGACCGTGTAAGTCGATGTGAGACTGATGTCAATAGGGTTGCCACCAGCAATCGACACAGGGCTCATCTGAAGATCCCAGTCGTAGAATCTGTCGGTCCTGGTGATAACAACGGCAGTGGTCATATCGCAGCTTGCTTGACGGGCGTCAAGCTGCTTGAGCTCCTCCTCCGTGGGCTCCTCGAAGTCCAGAAGCGAACGGTCGACGTCAGGGGGCGAGGACAGAATGCCGCTGGTTGACAGCATCGCCGAGTAAGAATCCTTGTCCACGACCTCCACTGCAACGATAAGATTAGCCTGCCGTATTCACGATACGCGGGACGCCTGTTTTCTGCCCAATGTGGCTCGTTGCAAAGGACCGCCAAGACGCAGTTCATGCCAAGGACTCGCTTCTTCTAAGAGCACGGGGAATGGCTGGGGAAATGGTAGGCGATGATGGATTCCTCCACTTACTGTGCTCGTGGCCGACAAGGAGAACTTCTCCGGGGAAGAGGCCGCGCTCGGGGTCGAACTTGGTGCCGTTGGTGGTCCGAGGGACAAAAACCGGAGAAGCGGCGGCGACTGCGGCAAGGCAGACGGTGACGAAGCGAGAAGCCATTTTGATGAACCGAAGGCGACAGGAGACTTGAGGAGCAATGAGAGGGGTGGTGAGGGCGAGTGTGTTGCGAAATTTCTTGGGATACTTGAACGACTTTATACCATCAAATCGTCATCCTTAGTGGTTTTCTTATCTCAGCTGCCGGTCAAAGGTCTCAACTCACGCGCAAGTCGACTTGCCGCATTGGTTCATCCACGCCTTACGCCTTTGGAAGCATGACCACTCACCGCTGCCCTTGACCCGAGCAAATCCGCGCGAATTATTCAGATTATCAGATCAAATGGCTTCCGAGTCATTGCCTTACCCCGTACTTCGTATGGCAGGAGCCGCAGTGGAACTACGCCAAGATGAAGCCATCCAGGTGATGTCTCCACGTCTGACGGTTACCCAAACTCAATTAAATAGACCAATTTGGTGACGATTGAAAGAGACTAGTTACAAAGACCTTGTCTCCCAGTTAAGCTTAATTCTACACCGTTCCATTCCTGCAGATCTGTCTGTGTTAGATTCGCAAAACTCGCATGTACCTCGCGGCCCACGACTTACCCACCAAAGATATATTCTGAGTCAGTGACCTTATTATACCGGGCAGAAAACCACAATACCAAGCCTTTCAATGATCCATATTACGAGATAAACAGCTCTTCTCGACTCAGTTCTGGAGTCCTCAGTTTCCACAGATTTTCGCAGGTGCTTCCCAAAGAACAGTGCGTGACCAATACCCGTTGCTCAGACGGTTCCCGCCAAGTGGATAGATATCGCCGACATTCCGAAGACGCCTGCGCCGAGATGGCCTCTGAAGATTTTGCACGTTTGATAGATAGTAAATTGAGTCATGTTTTGAACCTCTTCATGGGATTTTCTGTGGTGAATTCAGAGTGAGCGCCGGCGCTTGACTGGATTCGAGTAAGACCAGCCCCCGAGCAGCATGGCTCAAGACTATTGCCCCCGCAACATGTATCACGCGGAGGGAAGGAATTATCACATCATTCGGTCTGAAAGCAGGGCGAAAGGTTGGAAGGCCATCTCGGAGATGAAATCCTATCACGGATGGAGGGGCCCCAGACCTCAGCCATCTATGTTCTCAATGCAGTTGAGCACATGAGAGCATATATAGTGTTACCTCGCAGATCTCAAGGCTGGCATGTCCAGTCGCAGATCAACACTCAAAATCAACGAGGCATATCCACGCATCAAAGTTCTTCCCCGTTCGACTTCCAATAAACATGAAGATCAGCACCTCTGCCGTCGTCGTGGCTCTCGCCGTTAGGTAGGTTGAGCCTTCATTCCACCCATTTCTACATCTCAATCTTAGGGTGAATTGGGAGTGAATACCTCAGATACTGATCAGAAATCTTTCTGCAGCGTCGAAGCCAAACTTCACAACTTCGGTGCCTGCGTGCGTAACCGTGTTGAGCAGCCCATTGGTGGCACTGGTTGGAGTGTCAGCTACAGCTGGTCTAAGAAGTACGAGATTATGCCCGAGGCAACCAAGTGCGCTTGCGACTACTACCGTCGCCGCAACACGGGCAACAAGCAGTGGGATCAGTGCCCCGACTGCCACATGGTAAGCTCGTGACCCCGTTTTCGGAATCCGGCGCACTCGGAACTTGACTAATTCTGAGTCTCAGGACGGAGACGCTTGCAGATCTGATGGCTGGCACATTGGAGGTGACGAGGTAAGTCAGATGCCTGGCTGATTATGCGCATATGTACAAACTAACAAATTCATGATTCCAGCTGAACCACTACTGCACCAAGTACTGTGGCGCTCCTCAGTCTGAGGGAAGCAACAGCTAGAGAACCAGTGTTTGGGACAGACCGTGTTTGAAAAGAATGATGAATGAGAAACCCGTCTAGATACCACATACCGTATAATAACTTAATTCGAGTTGAGATCACTGCAAACCAACTTTGCTCCTGTCGCTCCTTCTAATGCAGTCTTCCCGGAGGGAATACTTAAGGTCACACCTCGCCTTTTCATCTAGTAACAATACTCTATGATAATAACGTGATTCTGGAACAAACCGATGTGTATTCCTCACAAATAATGGGTACAGTAATATAAACATACCTTCAGCTTGAAAGCACCTGTCACTGAAGATTTCGACTCGAAATGCGATAGGGTTGGGCTGATTGCAATATTTACTCATAGGTATATGTATTATCTGAGTCGGCAACCACTATGAACCACCCAAATCGGCCAAAACGTATCAAGGGGTATTGACTGTAATATTAACAGTATAGAAGAAAAGCCTACCTATGGAAACAGAATGATCCCTGAGACGTCATGGAACACTCATGCTGCAGAAAACGAGGTTGGAAAACGCGCGTCGCCTAGCATATTCCTACCGTGGCATACAGTGGGGCTCATGTTCCCAAGATGGAAGTTGTTGCGCCCAACAGCACCAACCAACAGCAGAAGGGATAAATAATAACTGCTGATGAAGCTGATATGTGACGTAAAAAGCGGGGGGGTCGTGGGATAACATTCACCGCTCAAAGAGGGGTCAGCTAGTGCTCTCTTTCCTCTCTCCAACCTCAGCATATTCAACCATACAACCATCAATCTGCAACAAAAACGAACGAAAATGACCACGCAACAGCAAGATGAGCCACCGATTCTCCCTGAAGAAGCTGTAGCAGATGATTCCGCCTCAATTGGAGGCTCCTCAACGAGTGAATCTCAAGCCTCTCTGAGATCAAGCATCCTGGATTATCGCCGGGAGAACGGACGAACATATCACCGCATGAGTGACGGGAAATATGCTTTCCCGAACGATGCCCGAGAGCAAGAGCGGCTAGACACAGTCAACTACGTTTGGATGTTGACTCTGGACGGAGACTTTTGCTTGTGTCCGAAAAATGATATCAGCGCCAAACGGGTTCTCGACATCGGCACAGGTACGGGCGTTTGGGCCCTCGACTACGCTGATGCCCACCCAGAGGCATCAGTTCAAGGCGTTGATCTCAGTCCCATCCAATCAACATACGTGCCTCCTAACTGCTACTTTGAGGTTGACGACCTCGAAAAGGAATGGACGTGGTCGACACCCTTCGACTTCATCTTCTGTCGCGATATGAACGGCAGCTTTGCTGATTGGGAGGGCGTCATTGCTCAAGCATACAAAAATTTGGAACCAGGCGGCTACCTTGAGATTCAAGACAGCATCTGGCCACCCGTTTGTGACGATGGCACCCTCAAAGAAGACTCTGCCCTGTACAAGTGGAGCCACCTCTTGGTCGAAGCCTGCGACAAGATTGGACGACCAATCAACCAGACGAATCAAAGACCTGCTATGATGGAAGCCGCAGGCTTTGAGGAGATCAAAACCACGCGTGTTAGATTTCCAATTTCCCCTTGGCCGAAGGACCAGAAGCTCAAGGAGGTTGGCACTGCCAACCAGAAACAGCTTGTTCATGGTCTCGAGGCGCTTACTCTTGGCCTATTCACTCGCGTCCTGGACTGGACTAAAGAAGAGGCGATGGTCATGTGTCTCGAGGTGCGCAAGGATCTTAAGAATCTCAAAATTCATGCTTACTGGAATGGTTATGTCGTTTACGGTCGTAAGCCGCTACGCTCCGAGGATAAATAGTTGACACTGCAGCTTCTTTCTTCTCCAATTGTTTCTCTTTGGTTGTGTAGAGACCTTATGGAAGATAACCATCATATGTGCTGCCAAAGAAAGTCTCCTGCAGGTCATACATATATAGTCTCAGACTCAATCGAGACAATTTAGCATTCTGTACTCTCGAAGTGTGATCATTCTGAGATTAGCATACAGCACGCCAAATTCGATGTAAATATGGGTTTCATTCAAGTCATCTTTCCACTCTAGGGATGATTAAGGTAGTTACAGCACCACAGCCATAGTAGAAAACCTTGCAGCACCATGTTGCACGAACGGATTCGAGCCGGCACACAATATGCGGATAATTGAAAGAGCTGAGGGTTTCATGGCGGTCAAGAGATGAACAGAAAGTCTCAACAATTTTGTTTAAATTTTGTCACGCTAATGGCTCGTATGCGCCACGGAAAGATTATTATACAGCGCACCGGTGCGAAACACACGAACTCCGCTTGTTCCCTTCGTGCTTACTGACACCGTGTAAGTGAGTTTCGATATAGACATATCGTCCACAAACACTTTAACCTCCTTGTTAATCGCCGTAACGCGCAAGTGATATTTTGTTCCCGCCTTGATGTCCAGGTCAGCAGATGCAAGCTGGAGCCAGTTCTGGTTCATCTGTCCTAGAACAACTGCCCCGGATGCGTCTATAGCTGCATAAAAGCCGGTGACGTTGTCAATACCTGCTGAAGCGCTGGTAACACCGAAGAGAACGCCCGCGTCACCCGAGTCGCGGGCGGTTGAGTTGACGTCTGGGTCAACGAGGGTGACGTCGATGTCGAAAACAAAGTCTTCGAATCCCGTATTCAGAAGGGCCTTGCCGCTCCAGGCCGACGTCTTTTCCGCGTTCAACTGGTTATCCTTGACTGAGAACTTTCCCTCAAACGCGGTATTCCATCCAATGAGATTTCCATCACTAAAATTGTCCTTGGCAAGCATGTTGACCTGCTTGATCTTGCCATTCTCGTCGAAGTACATGCGGTCGTAGGCGAGTTGCCGGTGGTTGCCGTCGGTGTCTCCCAGTGGTCGGCGATGGTAGAAGATGTACCAAATGTCGGTTCCAGGGACATTGATCACAGCATTGTGGCCAGATCCAGTGGCTACGGCTGCGTCTTGCTGGAGGATCTTTGCTTCGCGGTTGAACGGCCCGAGAGGAGAGTCTGAGATGGCGTATGACACGGAATAGTCAGGTCCGGTCCACCCTCCTTCAGACCACATCAAATAGTACTTCCCATTCCGTTTGAACATCAATGATCCCTCAACGTAGTTTTCGGGGGTAATCTCCTTGAACTGGGTGCCGTCGGAGAAGTTCCCTATGCTGATCATGTCGGAGTTCAGCTTGGCGACGTTGGCGTGTCCGTGGCCCCCGTAGTAAATGTAAGCCTGGCCGTCGTCATCGATGAAGACGTCTTGGTCGATCGGTTGTGCGCCGTTGTGATATTCGCCGATAAGGGGCTTGCCGATGGCGTCTTTGTAAGGGCCCTCAGGCTTGTCCGCCACCGCGACGCCGATGCCACCCACTTTGTTCTCGCCTTCTTGAATGTCGTTTGCGCCGAAGTAGATGTAATACTTTCCATCGCGCTCAATGGTGGCAGGTGCCCACATAGCCTCTTGAGCCCATGATACATCGGCCTTGGTCAAGATATTCGAGTGCTTCGTCCAGTGCACGAGATCTTTGGAGGAGAACGCATCAAGGTACGTTTGCTCCTCGTATGCGTATGATGATGTCGGGTAAACCCAGTACTCGTTATTGTAGACAGCTGTGTCTGGGTCGGCGTACCATCCGTCCACGAACGGATTGCCAGCCTCTGATGTGGTGTAATCCGGGATCGATCGTCCGATCCGGGCGGCGTACGCACCGCTTGAGAGTGTCATCGCGGTGAAGAGCGTCGTCAAGTTGGTGAGAATATTCATCTTGAACGTGGCGGGCTCCCCTCCCATACAATATGTTGCACTCACTCGTCGTCTGATGTTTGCGGGGGTGGCTTGAAAGAGACAAACTCTGTGTTCAACAGATGAATCTTAAGTTGCTTTGGCCCGATGCATGCGAATCGCTGACCCCCCGGCCGTTGCTGGGAACGTCGCTTTCTTAAACATTTTGAAACCGATGCACTAAACGACCGTCATGAACTAGTGCTGCTCCGATCAGCGAACGAAGGACGGCAGAAGGATTTTAGCGTTCGTTCCAATGCTACCGTTTCCTTCTCCTTCATAGGTCCTTCATAGGCAATCCTGCTGCCTAGACCCTACGGAAGGGCTTCCTGCTATTGACCACTTCAAGTCATAAAGTCAAGGTCTCAGGTCTATTTCAGGCCTATGCTTTTTTTCTCACAGCGCGATATGGCCGAGAGCAATGGAGAAGTTGAATTTTATGCTTGAATGCGGCGCGGTCCTGGCGATTTTAAGCTTGTTCTGAGGGAGGTGCGGGTGCTCGATCATACGGCAACTGGATGCTTTTCTAGAAGAGGGAAAACCAAGTTGAAACCTTACAGCGGAAACAATTGAGAAATAACTTCGGACATCGAAATTCGGGGCTTAGTAGGCAGCCTTTTCTGGATGTAAGTTTCCCGCGAATTTATCGCCGTGGGCCTTTGTGCCAGAGGGATGATAGGAAGCCACACTAGATCCATCTCAGACTTGGTCAGACCTAGCACTTCTTAGGAGACATCGCAGGGGCTGCTATGACATCATGAAGGACCGCCTTCGAGACACCCGATCAATGACTTGGGTTCAATTGGAACAAGATTCAACTTCATCCCCCTTGAAGCAGCAATCCGCTAGATATGAAGGACAAGATCAATGCGCTTTGCGACACGCAGGCGAGTGAAGCAATCTGCGAGTAGAATTGAGGTCACTGAAGAGGAACTAATTTCACTTCCTTCCGGGAGAAATTCCTCACGTGGGTGCGTTTCGGCTCTTGAAACCCTCTCCCAAATGCATCAAATTGCGACGACAGCGTCGCTCCATTCCCCATCTCCTTCTTGGAGTCAAAGTCTTCGTCCCTCCCTTTCCACGCTTGCAACGCCAGGTCGTTTTTGTCTGCATATCCTCTAGAACCAAGGCTCCTGTCTATCTCGATCAGTTCCATCTCTGATCTCGACCGCCTTATCCCCGCCATTTGTGGCCTCGTCATCGTCCGTACTGATGCCTCACCCAGCCGACGAAGCATCGACTCCTCGTCGCTGATGAAGCGAGCCGGCGGCGGCTTGTAGTCGCGGAACAGCGCTCGAAGGATTGGTATTGATGCGGCGATGATGGTGACGGCACTCTCTGCAGCGCCCCATATTACAAGCTCGACTGTGTCAATGATGTCGAAGGCCCCGATGGCCGTGATCGTCTTGATTTTGATAAATGAAACAATGCCAGCGCTGAAGCACGTAGGTCAGTGGTTATTGCGTGCGCGGACGCTATGTCTAGAAATGCTGGATGCTCACAAGACACCCATGCTCATCGCGAGCGAAACACCGAACTTCTCCTTCTTCGTCATAGAGAGGCCCCAGATTATCTTCCACGGAAGAATTGCAAGCACAATGTCCATGGCGCCAGAGTATGATGCCGTGAATGTGTTGTAGTTCATCGGGATGCTCTTGTCCCAACACGTCCCGGGGGTCGAAGCCGTTCTCCATGTCTTCTCGACAGGCGTGCATTGGATCCAGGTGAACAGCACGTTGAGACCAAGCGCGATGTTGACCGAGATCATGATGAACCAGATCAAGTACTTCATCCATCGCTCATTCGCAATGCGCAACAGCGTCAGTGCGAAAGACGTCTTGCTCCAGCATGCCGCAATGATGGAGAAGGACCCAGACAGATTGGCGTGGAGGAGGAGCCAAGACCAGTTGCCTGGCGTGATGTCCCAATTATGCTTGCCAAAGTCGTATGACACGTCGATCGAGATGAAGACGCCGAACGTTATGTATGCAAGCTTGTAGGTGTCAGTTGCGATGATGCAAAGATACGGCGCGAAAACAATCTCACCAAAGCTGCTATCATGTAGTAGTCATCATACCATAAACCTCGTTGTCGCGTTAACTTGCAGTAAAGTCGTAATCCCATGAAGCCCCCAGCTATGGCCCCAAGCCCCCAAATAATCGCAAGCATCCACGGGCCATAGTCATCGTGAGGAAGTTCGTCAAAAGGAACGTCGTCCATGCGGGCTGAGCACCGTCATCTGGCGGGAGAGAAGAGAGCGAGCTCTGCGGTCGCTGCAGAACTTTTTTTTTCGTTTTTCGCGGCGCCTGCCAGGGGGACAGGACAAGGTAACAATAAACGGTCGCAGAGACCTAAAGATCTCCGTCGACCCATATCGCTCTTCCCCCAGACGGCAATGCCTGGCTATAAAAGAAGCCCGTCATCTTTCATGTCCGATCTGGCCCAGCCCGAGTCCAGGTCCAGGCTTCCATGTCTCCGCACATCACCCGAGAAAGGAGTTCGGATGGTAGCCCAAACACCACCACGACAGAACGTGGTTCGTGAAAATGAGCGTGATCCTCCCCGAAGAGAACATATCGAGCGGGAGGGACACCCTGCGAGTCGCATCCGCCGCCCTGCGATTGGAAGAAGAAGGGGTTCCCCTGGCTGTCGAAACCAGGAAGCGAGATGAAAATGGCGGTTCAGCGTGTCATCCCCCGCATTCTACCCGACCCTGGGCGGTCAAAGCGCACTTTGACGGACGGCGTTGGCGGATCGGGGCCTCCCGCAATTGTGTCAACCACTGCAGCGACTCCCATGCGAAGACGATCAATCAATCGCGGTGTTGCAACGTGAGACCAGGATGCTCACGCGGAGATGAGTGATGGTTCGGAAGAGGCATCGTCGAAATGAAGCGGCGTTCTCGATACGCGGTTGGGCGACCGAGCCGTTGCCACGGCCTCTGTGCCGCTCAATAGTCCATGCCGGATCATATCATGGCACCCTGGGCATCGGCCTGACTCCAGACCACCAAGCTCGGACATATGAACACCTTTCAGCATCCAAGGACTTTCTGCATCTGGCGCAGAGGATGCACTCCAGGCGGGGAAATGGCTCTTCTTGAGCTCGTCAAAGTTTGGGTCGATTTCATAGTGGTGGAGCCATGCCGGGCTGAGTTCCCAAATGGAGGAGAGTTGGTGTGTGACATCCCTGGAGACTCAGCGCCGGTTGCTATTCTTGCGCGTGGACAATTTACAAAAGTCCGAAGTCTAATGCGGATTGGAGGCGAACGTCGTATTTCTCTTAAAAAGGCTGAATCAGACGCAATAATTCTTTCCGATGCGTCGGCGACTTCTGGTCCTTGGCCGCATACGGCAATGCACGGCGCTCAAGTCAGAATCGCTCCCATCTCTGCGGGAGGCTGGTGAGAGCTCCAGACGAGACCATCCGAGGTTTCAATATGGACTGAAAGCCGTGATGTCTGCGAGCATGTGAGAAAAAACGAAAGCGACGTCGACAATGTACTGTCAAGATTCCTATGAGGAAGTCTTGCTGTCTTTGCATTCCTGGAATGTGGATCAGGGTGCCGGGACCGGCGAAGATGGGAAGCCCCCGACACATGAAATGCCGCCCTCGCGGGACTTTTCTTGGCTTGGGTAGCCCTAAAACCAACCCATGATATTGACACAAGCTTCAAGTCACCCACAAGTTGCCTTCGGAATTCGCGATCGAATCCACAACTTCAAACAACGGTAGAGGGTCCGGGATCGTCTTGTATCGGTGGATGCTGCGGGTCCTAGATAAGAGACCCAAGGACGCCCTTGAAAGGGGCGAGGAAAGGGGCTCTTCCGACACGTGCATGGTTCAAGATTCGCGATTGCTCTAGATCTTCAGCTAAAGATATCGGTATCTCAGAGAAACCCCAGCAATTCCGCAGCAGAGCCTTTGCTCAGATTGCCCACAGCTTTTAGTATGTTCTCAGCTCGCTCTTGGTCGTACACCGGCTGGACCAGACCCCGGAACTTGTCCCTGACCTTCTCGCTCGAGAATGGGTGTTCGACCTCGCCCAGCGGGTACACTAGAGCCTCCTCCCTGGCAGCTCCGCCATCGACACCCTGGAAAGACATTCTTACCTCGAACTCCTCCTTGAAGTTGTCATCGGTCACAACCTCCACTCGATCGCAAAGCTCCGCCACCTTCTTATCCTTCATCTTCTCGGAATCATAGACGCTCCATCCCGCGTCACTCCCAAACAACCAGGCCACGGCGACTTGATAGTACATGCTGAACTGGGCATCAACAATGGTCTCGGGATGCAACTTATTCGGACTCGGCCGCCCGATGATATCATAGCCAGAGGGATTCACCCAGACCGTAATCTTCTGCGGAAGCTCTCCAGACTTGGCTTCAGCCGCAACCCTTGCCGTGATCTCGATTGCAGTGTGTGTGAAGCGGCAGGCAGGGAAGGGCTTCATCGCCGTCGCGGCGAACAGCCATTCGGATCCCAGATCCTCCGTCAGACCAGCGGCTTTGCTCTTCGTCGAATACGCCTGCAAGAAGCCCCATTTCCCCTCAATCGCATGCGACGCGCCAGTGACACCCGCCTCCGCAAGGGCAACACAAAGAAACGCATCGTGGGCCGCGAATCCGGGATGGAGTCTCTTGTTCCACGACCCGTTGTCAAGGAACTGCATCGAACCCGCGGCCTTGGAACCGGCTAGCCCAAAAGCGTTGTAGACCTTCTCAGCCGTCAAGCCCTTGATCTTGCAGATGGCCGCCACGGCGCCGAAGATGCCCGCCGTGGCGGTGTTGTGGAAGCCTCGGGGGTAGCCACCCGAAGATAGGGCGCGGCCGAGACGGCACGCCACCTCGTACCCGACGGAGAGACCCGTCAGGAGCTGGCGCCCGGAGGCGTTGGAGGCTTCAGCTTGCGCCAAGGCGGCCGGGATGACGCTTGCGCCGGGGTGGATGATGCCGATTGCGAGGGTATCGTCAAAGTCAAAGGAGTGTGCGAACGCGCCATTCAGCAGAGCTGCGATGTGTTTGGGGTATGTTTTTGTTTTGCCGTAGACTGTGCTCTCACCGGTGCAGCCTTCTGAAAAGGCTTCGACGGCTTTGAGGATGTGGCTGCTTGATTCCGACTGGGCTCCGCCGCCGGCCCCGACACCGATGTGATCGATGATGAGATCGAGGAGCTTGGTGATGGCTTGCGGTGGTATGTCTTCGTATTTTGCGTCGGCGATGAAGTTGCTGAAGTTCTGTGTAGCGCCCTCTGCGCCGGGGTAGAACTGGTCTGTGGTGGCGTTTCCACCTCCGTTGGCCTGTTTTGCCATCTCCGAGTCTTTCAAAACGCAAGGTAGGTCTGTCTCTCACAGGTGTACAGTATAGGGCGTAATGACATCCCCAGGAACTTTGCAAGAGTAGAAATGAGTTGAATAACTTCTACTTCAATTGCTTACTATACTGCTAGATACTAGTACGAGAGACTACCTGCCGGGTGTCGTCATCCAAGAACACCAACATGCGGCACCGCGGGGTTGACACGGGAATGACAGCAGTCAATGCGGGGATGCCCAGGTTTGCAACCCGCCAAACTCTCTTTGTGCCGCAACCTCGGTCATCCGGCTCCCACGAGACAACTGTCAAAGCCGCTCGTGGCCCGCGAAATGGGGCCGGCGCCGAACATGTGGGGCCGTCTCTGGGAGCGCGGCCGCTCGAATGCCACTTTTCAGACCATCTGCAAGGACATGCGCTGAACATTGTCATCATGAACAGCTTTCCAAAGCACGCGAAGGCGCTGCGTAAGGAGAACTTCAGGATATCTGCTCAAACTTCCCTCTGCGTCTAAAGACTGGAGAGCTGTCGCATATTCGGCGCTCCACGTCCTTATCTGATCCAATACCTGGCCGTAGCGATCAGCGGGCGTCGTTTGCAAATCCGGTTGTACGTTTCTGTAGAGATGCAACGGTGAGAAACATGCACGACAGCGCTGGCCCCTGTACCTCAAGCAGCCGCAGTGAGAACATGGGAGCCGCCGTCGCCACTCCTCCAAGGGCCCGACGCCGTCTTTGACGTACATCCGCTGCAGGCAGTGCTGACACCGCCGTTTCCAAAACTTGTCAGGGTCCCCGACGGACAGGTCAAGCTGGGTTGTGGTGAAGGACTTGAGCTTCTTCACTTGAAAGCATCCGTAGCACGGATACCTGGCTGGCGAGATGGTGCCGTCGTAGAGAATGTTTGGCTCATACCCTCGTACGGCAAGAAACCGCTTGTGCAACGGTACCCAGTCAGCAGACACGTTGAGTCGCATTAGGCAACATGTGCTTCGGAGGTTGATGACATCCAGGTAATTCAGCCGGTGAGAAATTCCCCGAAGAATATTGACTGGCAGCCTTTCCAGCGAAGGCGGCTTTCTCTGGTCAACACACTGGGTGCTTGTCATCTTCCAGCCTCCCCATGACTTACTCCATCTCTGCTCTCGACAATCGAGGCATTCACGAGACGCGTCCTCAGTCTCTTTGGGTAAGATACGACGTTGGAACGACGATCGAGGCAGCATCAAAAGGCACGTGAAGCAAGCCCACATCTGCATCTTTCGATACTTTGCAAAACCTTCAGCACGTTGCAAGAAGTCTGTTTTATCGAGCCTGCTTATTAGAAACAGGAATTTGCTGCTTAAGTTTTGGTGCAGGTAGCGATTGGTTGATACGAGAGACAAGGCGCTTTCGACGTTGAGGTATCTAACGATCTCGCAACAGATGTCGAATGGAAGATCTTCGAATCGCGTCCGCTGAGGATCGCAGCGCAAAGCATTACCATTGGTAATATCGTTCTTAAGAGGAATCTCATCTGTGCTAGGGATCTCGCTCCTGGATGATTCGTTCGACGACCTCGAATGCGCCGACTGCGACTGCTTCATTGTTAGGGAGTATATCATGTGGTGCTCCAATAAAGATCTGGTTTTGATGGCGTTGTTAGTTGGAAGCTGAGCTTGCTGGTATGGCCTGGACAATGATCCAAGCCAGTTGGTTTGCACTTGATTACCTTTTTGTTTTGTGTTGATGGACAGTCTCGCAACGAGATGATTCAAACAGTCAGAGAGGAAGACATAGTGCCAATGCTTTGCAGCTTGACTCATATAAGGGTTGAGTCACTGATTGAAACTTTTCGTCGACATCAAGGTATTGACACCCTTCACAAACCTCAATGAGTTCCTGGATGGCCTGTAGCAAAGTCTAACCACGATCAAAAAGTACCTCGCACGTCACTGGCAGCACGGTCCAAAAGGTGAAGGCATATGAAAATATGTACCTTTCAGCTGAAATAAAAGTATATACACGAATTTCTTCACCGTCTCATCGGAGCCGCTATCCGGAGCGGCTCCTTTGTTCTCTCATTCCTCCTCTACTGGCACTGGGAGTAGTAGTCGTTCTGCTTCTGGCAAGTGTATCCAGTCGCGCAAGTGGTGGGGCCGGTGTAGCCGTTGCCGCCGCACTGAGCCCAGCGAGCAGCAGCAGCCTCAACGGTACCAGAAGCAGCAGCAGCGGGAGCGCTGGAAGCAGCCTCGGCGTTGTCGCCGCAGTTCTTGCTCCTCACGCTGGTGACGAGAGTGGTGGCAGGAGCGGGAGTGGCAGCAGGGACACTGGGAGCAGGGGTGACAGCCGGGGCAGAGGCGGCAGGCTCGCTGGCGGCGGGCTCACTGGCAGCAGGAGCAGAGCTAGAGGGCTCGGCGGCGGCGGCCTCGGAGGTAGTAGCGGCGGGGGCAGAAGAGGCAGCGCCGGTGGCGACGGGGGCGGCGGAGGTAGCCGGGGCAGCACCACCGGCGGCGGCGAGCAGGCTGGAGATGGAGGTGTAGGCGGGCTTGGGCTTGAGGTTCTCGTCCCAGGGAAGAGCCTCACCGGTGCCGGGGAAGACAGAGGGAATCCAGGAGTACTTGTCGGTGTAGTCCCAGATGCTGACGCCAACACACTCGGCGACGTCGAGGCAAGCACCAACAACGCTGACGTAGTCGGTGGCCTGCTGTTCCTGAGCGGTGGTATCGGCGGGGATGCTCTTGTGGCGGATGTCGAGCTCGGTATAGGCGACCTCGGTGACACCGGCGTCGACGTAGGACTTGAGGACGGTGCTCAGGGCAGAGCGGGAGCCAGCGCTGCCGACGATCAGATGGGCCTGAAGACCGACACCATCGATCTTGGCACCGGCGTCCTTGATGCTCTTGATGATGTTGAGGACCTCCTTCTGCTTGTTGCCAGCCAACTCGATGTTGTAGTCGTTGTAGTAAAGCTTGGCATCAGCATCAGCCGCGGCGGCGGCCTTGAAAGAGATGGGAATGAAGTCAGTACCGAGGACCTTGTAGAAGACACTGTCGCGGTAGGTGCCGTCCTCGTTAAGGGCCTCGTTGACGACATCCCAGGAGTAGCACTGGCCCTTGTAGTGACCGGCGACGTTGGAGATGTGCGTCTCAATGATAGAGGTCAGCTGCTCCTTAGTCCAGGTACCAGAGGAGACCCAGGTGGGAAGCTGAGAGTGCCAGACCAGAGTGTGGCAGCGCAGGAGCATGCTGTTGTCCTTGGCGAAGGTGGCGATCTCGTCGCCGGAGGTGTAGCTGAAGACGCCCTGGCTCTTCTCGGTGAACTGCCACTTCTGACCGTTGCCGGGGGTAATGGCTCCGAACATCTTGTTGTCCTTGAGGATCGCGACGTAGTCGGTGTTGGTCAACTCGGAGTTGTCAGTGGCGGTACCGAAGTACTTCTTGCCGGCGGCCTTAGCCAGTTCGTTCAGGTTGGCGCTGACGCCAGTGGCGAGCAGGCCGGCTGCGGTGAGGGCGGAGAAACGCATCTTGGTGAGAGTTGGAAAAGAGAGACTGAGATAGAGAGAGACTGGTGAAAAAGAACGTGATTGTACCTCGAGGGAACAAGAAAAGAATGGAATTGAATGGCAAAAGACGACAGAAGCAGAGTCAAAGAGAGCGCATCGTGGTGCTCGGCGGGGGGCGGGAGACGTTTATGAACGTCTACGCTAGTTGACGTTCAATTCTCTTCTTTCTCACTTGGCTAAGTTTGTACGGCGGAGCAATCCGACGTCAATCTATCTAAGGCTTCAAGCTCATCCCACCGTAGCCGACGATCCGGCACCAACCTGCCCCTGTCTTCATCACGCAGACAGATTGGCTGCAAATTCTCGCTTGTTCGTCCAAAGTAATGAAGGGGGTCACTCGCCTGAGGGGATCTCCCGTTCTGTTCTGGGGTTTACACTGAAAGACAAGGATACCGCTGGCGCGCGGTTGGACAGGTCTGAGTCGGGGCCTTTGAGCGCCCTTTTCCTCACGTCTCTCCTGAAGACGACAGGCAAGTTCCCATCTTTCTCAAAAGAACGCAGGGCGGCAAGAAACCAAAAACGTGCATGTTCAAATGTGTCATCCGATCGAAAGAGGCCTAACGGTGTCCCCGCTCCGCCCCTGAATTTCCGGGGTGAGGGGGTTCCACACTCACTCTATTCGGGCCTCTGCGCCGTGATCCAATTTGTTTACACAAAACACGCCATTTTTACGCTTCCAAGCATATTACCTTATTCACCACAAGACCTGAAAAGGAGAGCCTTAAAGGTGGCGATTAAGCCGACTTATCCACCAATTGGTAAACTTCGAATATGCATGAAAGCTGTTCGGGTGCAATCGGTTTCGATAAGGATGGCTTACTGTCAAAAGTGAGTATTGAGACATCAACAGTCTGACTGTCGGTGCAATCGAAAGACGTGGCACTTTTCCTTTTAAATGGGTTGTACCGACCAGATCTGGCTCCCGGCCGATGCGGACGGCGGATAGTGGGTCCCGTGTCGGCCGGAATAAGTGGGACATGGCCGAAGTCGCTAATCGAACGCATCAAGCAGTCCGAGCGTCAAGTGGAGCAAGTCGATAAGGAATTGATAAGTAAACTCATTACATTGAGGATAGTAGTCCTACGGCTAAGTATAGTATTATTCATTATGTTTCACCCTTCCAAGGAGTGTAGTCCGCCCATATTGTCATTATTATTTCCTCCCATTGTCATTAAAAGTCCAGTATTCCATATGGATAGTCGTTTTGTCGCTTAAGTCAATCTGATTAATAGTGAATGCCAGCATCGTCTGGATCTTGCCAGACTTGTTTATAGGGAGTTGTAGTTGGTTAGGAAAAGAGGGCGAAGAGTTCGCTTAGACAGAGACGTTGGGGCTGATGCCAGCAACGAGGGTAGGGTTGAGAGTAACGCGAGCGTCGGCAATGCGCTGGAGGAGAGCGGCAGAGGCACCGTTTCCGTTGGCAAGAGCAGTCTGGGCAGCAGCGAGGAAAGCGTCGGTAGCGGTGGCGATCTGCTTGAAGGAGTTGGCGATGGCAGTGGCAGACTCGGTCTTGACCTGGCCAAGGAGAGGGGTGATGAGCTGCTCGAGGTAGCTGCCGATCAGGCTGAGCTGGGTGCGGACCTGGGTGTTCAAAGAGCGGGCCTGGGCAACGACAGCGTCAAGAGCGGCGACGACGCCACCAACGGTGCCAATGGCAGTCGAAGTAGCACCGGAGACATCGGGGGCAGTGACACTAGGGACGGTGACGCCGGGGACAGTAACGCTCGGGATGGCGACGCTGGGAACTCCGGGGACTCCGGGAAGAGAGACGCTGGGGATGGCAACGCTGGGGACGGCAACACTGGGAACTCCCGGAACACCGGGGAGAGAGACGCTGGGAACACCAGGGACGGCGACGCTGGGAACTCCAGGAACTCCGGGCAGGGAGACGCTGGGAACACCGGGAACGGCGACGCTAGGAACTGCGGGGACGCCGGGGAGAGAGACGCTCGGAACGGCGACGCTGGGGACAGCAACGCTGGGAATTCCAGGAGCGCCGGGGAGAGAGACGCTCGGGATGGCGACGCTGGGAACTCCCGGGATAGAGATGCTGGGAATAGCAACGCTGGGAACTCCAGGGAGAGCGACACTGGGGACGCCGACGCTGGGGACGGCAACGCTGGGAACACCAGGGAGAGCGACGCTCGGGACGGCGACGCTGGGGATAGCGGGAGCTCCAGGAGCACCGCCGCCGTTGCCGCCACCGCCTCCTCCGTTACCTCTGGCGATGAGCTGGGCGGTCAGTTCCTCAAGCTTGGCCCTGATAGCATCAGCGTTGGCCTGGACCTGCTTGACAACGGCTTGAGCCTGCGCCTGCTTATCGGCGGCAACAGTGGTAGCGGCCTTGTTGAGCTCGACGACCAGGGCAGCGGTCCTGGAAAGATCGTCGCGAAGCTGTGCAAGAGTCTGGTAGGCGAGAGCCTCGGCTCCGAGGTTCTGGAAGTTGAAGGAGATCGTCGGGGTAACAATGTAGCCGGGCTGAATGACAAGGGCGTTCTGGCGCGAGATGAGACCGGCGTTGACAGAGGAGACTGCCAGAGCGGCGAGGGCAGCAGAGGCGATCCTGTACTGCATCTTGGCGACTGTAAACGGTTGTATTAAAAGATGTAGAGAAGCTTGGCGAGAGGGCGAGTAGATGGGATGTGAAGATGGTAGTTGCCAAGAGGATGTTGCAGTGTAGGGCTGAGGTGGTGATTGTTGATGCTGATGAGGAGGGAAAAGAGATGATTGAGGGGAGAGATGCCGACGCCTCTTATAGGGATTTGGGATGGTATCGAATCTCACGATATCCGCTTGTTCTCGGCGACGTTGCGAAGCAGCCTTGCGACATTTCCGCAAACGAGACTTGGCCCCTCGTGGTGGGATGGCGAGAGTACCATGGTTGCTTAGGCGGAGGTGCCTCCGTGGACTACAGACTCCATCCGGAGCCTTGGACTGGCCCACATTGTGAGCTTGCGCATCGTTCCGAAGCTTTGTGAGAGCCAACATCCAGTCTACTCGAGGTAATGTTGCTCCAGCTCGTCGAGAGTGTCCGCCTTCAGGCAGATGGCAAGCTAGCCTAGGAATTGCCGTGCCGGTGGATGAGACGGTCGACTTGGTTGAGCCGCGCTAAGGGATCTTCCCGTGACGTCGGAGGCCTGGGCCGATCCAGATGGGCCCGCGTTCTCGGAAAGTGCCAAAACCTTCACCCGGAAGGCTCAGTCTACCGCTGGTAGTGAGTTAAGATGTCTCTGGTTGATGTCAACAGGTCCCGCCAAGCCGCCAAGTACCCTTAGTGACCAAAAACGTCGAGGAAGTTTTATCCCGTCGGAGGAAAACCGTCTTCCAACATCACGGTGATGTGATGGAGAGTCTGAGCTTACTCGAACTGACTCTGAATACCCTGGGCCCATTGAAACCCCATTTCATCGATCTCGATCACCACCCGGGGGTCTCATGGAAGCAAGCCGCTCTCGGGGAGGTGAACCATCGTCATGAGTGACATTGTGCATTCAGGAAAACAACGTAGATTGTGGACAATCCAAGCTATGACGACATTCCAGCGCTCTATTCAGTCAGAGTCGAATTTTCACTTCTCTTCAGCAACGCCGCAGGCGCCGAGAGACATACCGTCCAAATCACGGCTTCCAATGCTCAAAGAAAAGATTCGAATCCGTAAGACATGTTTTGTGCGGCAGAAATTTGACAAGGAGAATTGGCGGGTAAGGCGTCTTCACATCTCTCACTCATCGGATCGGGTTTCCTCACCTCCGTCCGGTAGCCCTCATCACCTAGCAAGAATGCTGGGAACGGACGAGCTGTGCTGTGTTCTTTCTCGTCACGGCCGAATGAGGAAATACCAAAGCACCTTTGACCAATGATGTCTCAGGGTCTAGAGGAGCTTCCCGAGGTGATGTCTGTGACTAGCTGCTGTGCTAACGAATGAGCAGGCTACTTGAAGCCACATCCCCACATTCAACGGGAACAACCCTTCTGGCGGCTCGACCCAGGCTGACTCAATCTAGACGTTATTAGAGCTGGGAACTAGGCAATGGTGTAATCATCCAGATTGAGCTTAGACTAAGCTTGGCGGAAGAACTAGGCTGGCGGGAAATATGTCAGCGGATGCCTCCTCAGCGGGCCGCATTCATCGACAGCGGGGAGCCCCAGCCGCCTTCGATCTGTAAAGGAGAGCCTATCTTGTAGCGGGACGCCGGCGATCTGACCAAGTTCTGGTGGCAGATTCCGTAAATGGCACTCTCCGAGACAACGTTTGCGGCCGTATGACGGAAGTGTAGTTTACAGTCAGTGTTGTGTGGAGTGATTGATTGAGCTGACTCAACTGCTGTGGAAACCACATTCCAGACCGCAGGGCCGCGCTTCACGGCCCGAATCTTGAATGCTGCGAATCGGTTCCAGGCTTCATAATTTTGGAAGTTTGGAAAGTCTTGATAGAAATATTGAAACTACTTGTTGCTATGTTTTGATATCCATATTCAAAGTACCTAACATATAGTGTTCTATGATTCACGGAATACTCAAGGCACTTCTGTATTTCAACCTAATCTCAATAATCCTTCTTCACGTGTATCACACATCGCGAAATCCTTACCCGAATGGAAAGGCGTTTCTTGCCTTATTCAGACCCCCCAGAAATAAAATTTTCATGGTTTGCCAGACATGTCTACTGGGCATTGGCTGGTGCGAATTTTGTTACTCGATCCGTGACTCAAACATGAATGCTACGTTTCCATCCTCAAATGCCGGCTTCTGAAGCCAAGCATCAATCGACAGGCAACCTGCGATTTTGTCTCGTGGGCACGTTATGGAAAGGGGGAGATCGACAGTTTCCGAGCCCGCCTCCGAGTTATTTCCCAAGCTCTGGAACATTTCGCAGTTTTCTCTTTTGGACCCTGAGACATGTCTTCGAAGGATCGGCGCATGTTTTCGGTAGCTCTGACCGGGTGGCCAAAATAACGATGACACCTTATTTGGAGGTCTTATTGCGACCTCACCATGACGTTCTATACATTTCACCCATTGGCAAACTCTGCTTCAAGAACGAGAACCCAAGATAGGCTGTCTCTCCGCCAGCCACCAACGTTGAGGCTCTCTAAAGCCCACCATCCAAACAATGCATTCACTATGTTTATGGCATCTCAATAAACGTGTCGCAACGTTTGCAGAAGGCAGCGTGCCCGCAACCCTTTTCCCGGTCCGAACGAAAAGACGAAAATGAGATCGGCCCGGTCGCTCGGTTCATCTTGATCAGTGTCGATCGCAGTCTGGTCTTCCGGCAATTATCCTTGTGAGGCTCATTAAGGTTATGATTTCGACGTTATCGTTCCTTGCGGAGAATCTGGTCCTGGGTCCATACACCATGGCGTCATGTTGTTCGGCGCCCAGCCCGAAATCCCATTCCGCTTTCGTGCCGAGGCACAGAAAGCCTCGCGAAACGTCGTCCCTGCAGTGATGAACTCAACAAATCCCAATTGTGGATATGTCAGCACATGGAATTTTCCCTTCCGAGCGCGATATTGGAGTGTCTTGCCAAGGCGAAGGTCCCTTCCCCCTCTCGACTAGCTGGCTCTCACCATCTGCGATACGCCTTCTTGGAAGCTAGACACGGCATCGAGATGTCGACAATATTCCGGATGGCGATGAAGGTCTTGACATCGGCGTGACTAGAGATGCCAATGTCCGGGTTAACCAGACTTGCCGACATGTTGCTGCTATGTGAGCAAAGACTACTATCAGACGAGTAGGAGGCAGAACCCAGAACGCAGACTTCGTTTGGCTGGCTTTGCGAGTTCTTTTTTTCCTTTTGCCGTGCGGGATAGTCGTGACCGTACCAAGGTGTCAGGAATATGTTTTTACGCAGAGTCCGCGTGCATGGTAATTTGAAAACCAATACGGAAAGACGACTGTTAAAATGGGAATCTGATTGAATACAAGAGCTTAATCCACGAACCTGGTAAACCTTGTTTTATGCTTGTTTTTGAGTTATCACATGGTTACCTTAAAATTACGTGCATGACGTGGCTTCTAACTCCTCGGGCGGTGGTGGGTCTTTCCAACCACACTGAAGTCTGGCCACATCCAGGGCGAACAGATGATCTGATATTCGACCCGAGAAACTGGTTTGCCAATGCTGCCAAGAGAGCCATGTTTGACAAAGATCATGCAACCCTTCCAGGGCATGAAAGCAGGTATTGCACAAGATGAGCGAGGTACTCTCAACAGAATTGGACCCTGTTCCAACTTATCCCGGGAGCATACATGCGAAAAAGGGACTGGAAAGAAGGCATTTTAGGCGTAGAAGTTTTCTACCTGATGTATTTGCTACCCAAACAGTACAGGTATCTACAAATCGTCAATCAGAGGGCTAAGTCCCTGAGCAGTGCCAATCTTGTCCTCAAAGAAGATCTTCAACCTCTCAACACGCTCACGGTTGACCATGAAACGCTCAAAGTCGATAGGGTTGGTCGAGTTGATCTCCATCAGATCAGGCCATCCGGTAGGGGCAGGGATGTCTCGGCGAACGCTCCAGGAACCGGTCACGTTGGGGTTCTGGTACTCATCGCTGAGCAGGAAGTTGTGCAGGAGCTTGGCACCCTCCTTGTGAGGGGCATCCTTGAGGATAGCGCCGCGCTGGCCCCACGTGACGAAGAAGCCTTCCTTGGGAATAGAGATATTGAAAGGGGCGGAGGGGATCATGCCGACACTGCCAGTGAAGGTCACCGCGTAAGAGTTGTTGGCCTGACCCATCACGGTAGTGGGAGTAGCAGTGCCGCGCACCCAGCGAGGGTTCTGGGTGAGCAGGTTCTCGAACCAGCTATAGCCGTATTGTTGCATCCTATCTTACAGTCAGTATTGTCGGACAATGACATGAACGGACCTGAACTCACGCCAAGTCAAACGCGTAGAGAACTGCATCATCGTCGTTGGGGTAGGTGAAAACCAGCTTGTCCTTGTATTCGGGCTTCAAGAAATCGAGGTAGTCGACGGGGCCATCAGAAACCTTGTCGGCATTCCAAATGTTGGTCCAGCCGAAGACAACAACAGCGTACCAAGCACCGAAGACATCGCGGAATCCGGGGTGGATCTTGTCGTAGTTAAGAGGCTTGTAGCGCAAGAGAGCGCCCTCCTCATCCCACCTAGGATAATCTTGGAGTGTCTACACAGAATCATCAGCGGCTGGGGTGACGAATGAGATCAATTCGGCATACCTGAAGAATAACGCTGTCGACGTAGACATTGCCTTGAGACAACTGACGATCAATGTTGCCGTCGATGTACTTGGAAACGTCGACGGTCAAGTTGAGAGTCATGCCGGGGAAGCGCTTCTCGAAAGCCTCCTTGAGAGCATCTTGCTGGTTCTTCTCATCACCTCCATGCCAGAGAGTGACCACTCCACCCTCCGCGAGCGCAGCCTTGTGGATATCGTCAATTGAGCGCGTTTCGATTTCAGGAGCCCCGTTGAAGTTGAGGAGGTTGTCATAGGCGGCTACGGATGTAGCCAGGGCAGCCGAGATAAAGAGCGTGGGCAGAACCATGTTGGCTGGATCTTCAGTTGGTTGATAAGTGAGTGTAAA